TTGTTTATTTTGGACATATGAATTCGAAGAATTCAAGTTACTGAACAGTCATCGTATATTATAGCCAGCTGTATTGAAAATACCAATATCTTACCACTATGCTATAGTATACGTTTCATAGAATTAAGTCAAATCTCTATAAACATAGTATGATCAACATACCTCTGAGTTATCAAAATTAATAAAGTTAAATAGAAAGCAGTCTATGAAATCGTCGTATTTATTCTTCATGAAGCTGTTTTTGTGGTCGACAAGTAGAGTAAGTGAATTGATCAGATATATAATTTCTCTCTTGCATACTTGAATGTCATTGAACTGAGAAAAATGAATCGACTCCACACGACTGCTTGTTGTCATTAGGATAAACTTTCGGGAAGCCACTGATCAAAACATCTGATTAGCAAAGTCCAATTTTCACTCTTAACTCATGACTTTCTACCTTCGTGGAGAAGTATTAACTTATTCAATAAACGCTTGATAAGCTTTTTGGTTGTAGTTGACAATTAAGGGTTGATTATTTATCAATCGAAGTGATAAAGGTGAATTGTTGACACCTTACGAAAACCAAATTGATAACATCCAATGGCGAAACTCAGTAGACTAAATGGATCAAAAATTAATCCCTATTAACTACAGTAAGTCAGAATGGTTTTGAATAAAATCACTTTACAGATTAGTAACCATGTAACCGTATTATTTATCCAGATTGCTGACTATATATTTCTGATCCGTAACTTGCTAAATAATAAGACGGTAGACTGACTTTATGGGTAAATTACGTGTTTATTTTCACGACAGACTTAAAAATTATCTGTTTTGGAGATTAAGTATTCATGGAGAACAAAAGGTAAAAAACGTTTAGCTCTTCTTTATCTGTACATTAAATATTTAATTTGTGTTTATTTGTTTAGACCAGTGCTGGAATGAGTTCGCAACAGACACAAACAATCCAGGCTTTCTTGAGAGTGCTCCCCGCTATTGGTTTCGTCTTTGTAATGAACATGCCGTCGGTAAGACATTTCCTTCAGACCTCTTTTTGTTTAACTGTCCTAAGCTTTAAAGTTAAACGCTTTATATTGTGATAATGTTTAGCTTACTGTTAAAACCATTTTTTGGAACTTCTTACTTCTGATAGGCCTGCTGACTGAACTGTCGATCCGATTTCCTAGCCACTTCTATCGGCCCCCGACTAAATCGACACGACAACTTCAATACAAGATAAAAGCTGCACTGTGCTAAAGCCAAAAGCTTGTGATAAGTATTTATTTGATTTCTAAAACAGATCGAAACGATTTATGAATACACTGTTCACATGATTTATTTATTGTTAGATTAACTCGGACTTGTATAAATTAAACTGAGTTTTATTTAGCAATAATTATTCAACGACTTGTTGCGTGAACAAGTTTACCATGTTATATAAATAGGCATCTATAATCCCTCTTAAGGTGTGAGTGCCCTTCACAAACGATTCGAAAGTATCGATTTCATATCAATTGGATTCCATTTGATTCAGCCATTGCTCTCTATGTCAACCTTATGCCGAAATGTATATGCAGAATGATATCTAGTAATTCTCAAGTTATCTTCGTATTTTCCAAAGGATGATGATTGAAAGCTTTGTCATCTGAATACATTTTTTGTATAAAAATTTAAAATGGTATGTGAAATTTCTCATTTCTAATGTACGGTAAGTTGTACGCGAATGTCTACATTTGGGCCCTGTTATATGACAAGTTTATCACCACCTCTTAACTATATATATACCGACTTTACTTGTTTTCCAAGTATAATTAGCTGTCTTATATCCATCGACTGGTTTATTTGAAACTGCTTCTATTAACGGTCGGTTATTTATTGACAAAATACCAGTAGAAGTTGTAAAAAAACCTGTTTTTTTCAATAAATGCACAGTTGTTTGACTCAGTAATTCGTTGCGCACTCATTTCAAGTGATAGGCACTAAAAACATAAGTTAGGATCAGATTAGTATCTTCGTGTCATCAAACGTGATGCTTAAGCCGTGCGTGTATTGACTCAATTTAGAAACTCTTAGCCGTCAATTGATCTCTCTTGGATCCAACGTTTTCCCTCCCCTACCATCTTTGATCCAGTCAACCGTTAACACTTATGTATCAGACGCAACTCTATGTATACAGGAATACAAACTTGGTTTTGGGGTCATATAAAAGTAACAGATCTGGCAATGGCTATTTAGTCATCCCCATAAATAGAATTCTCCAACATTATTACCGTATGAAATTGATTCTGTATGCATCAATAACGATTCGCATAAGTTGTCTTCTTGACAGCAAACTGATTTCCGACTAGTTGGGTAATTGCTTGCAAAGATACGGAGATTGTATAAAATTAAAATGAATAAACGGATACCTGGATCTAACTGCATTGATTTGCAGAATTATAAAACCGAAAAATTCAGAACAGTAATCGTTTCAAATAACGTAAATGAAACTCCAAATTGAAGAAAGTGCTGGAAAATCAGTACAACCAATGCGATTTTAAGACGTTTGTAGGCGTTATTGCCTACTCGGACATCCGATGCAAACAGAAATTACAGAAAATATCTCTTAGCTCCATCATTTTGTTTTGAAAAATATATTATAATTTCTATTCTAACAGGCTTTGGTATGGTATTGGAGTGTTAGCAACATGGTTTCTCTTCTTCAGTCATTAATTCTACGTCAATCACGTGTTCGTTCTTATTTAAACTTCCCTTCTATTCAAGCACCTCCTGCAGCAATAAAAAAGAAACGTGGTTTTGTTGCAGGATTCAAAGAATGTAAGTCGACAACCATTAGTGACTACTTTTTATTTAACTTGGACCATCCCGCTTGTATAATGACGTATGATAATATAAAAGCTACCGTGTTTTATCTAGAACGTTCACCGTGATATACTAATTGTTATTCCAAATATCTTGTGTAAAAAAACTGTCTAGAAAACAAATTTACTTACACCATCTACCTCGTTTAATTATATTTAAGTTAAGTCTAGTAAGTTCGACGAAAATCCTGTGCTTCATTTATTTACCGAATGCCCCATAAGTTCTGTTAGTTTTAAACTCTTGTCTTTAAATGTGAAGTTGTAGCACCTGCTAACTGGGCAGTAATCCCCATTTTTACAAACGTTAATTTTTATTGGTGAGTTCAACTTAGTTGGGTGAAATTGATGAACTCGTCTTTGGATATTTTTACTAGTCATTACAAAGTTTGGATTATATTCACTAACGATTTGTCCTCTTATGTTGCCGATCATTTAAGATTTCGTTAAATGTCACCATTCTCTCTACATCAATGCTTGCCTGCCACACTTTTCACTTCATTACTCATAAAAATTCATACTGTACTTAACGCTGTACCACACTCTCGATTTCAGTTGACTTGAGCGTTATTATAATACATGGAACAAGCCTTTTAATTGCAATCATTTTCTTAAAATAGCAAATAAGTGTACGGTTGCTCGTCTAGATAATCATATTTATTTCTTGTTCTTGAAAATGTTCACCATACTTTGTCAAATAGTGTACTAAACTTAGAGTAACTTTTATTGTCCCGTTGAAAATGTGACTAATGGGTGGGTGTATATTCTTCTGTACCCTATGTGAAATTAGTATTTCTAACTATATTACTAATAAGTAACTAATGTTTTATCTCTCTCAAGTTTCACTGGTCATTTGTAATTCAAGCGCCGCATCATCATTTTGTCTTGGTTAGGGTTTCTCGGCAGACCGCGTCTACAACCTCATCAGGGATTGGAACTAGACACTCGTATCTCAGTGTGAATATTTAAACTGTAGATTATGCTGATAGCATCCACCTGCTTGTACGCCTGACTGTGATCAGTTCGGGATATTGTGCAGTCATCTTCAAGTATCATAGGCGGGTGAATTCTTCCCGAAGCCCGCTTTAGTAATAATCATGTGCTCGATAGCGAACAACTGTGAGTCCTAGTTAGAAGCGTTGACCAGTAGGGTTCAATCATATCGAGTGTTAGGCAGTCATCCACGAAGATGACTACGCAATGTCACGAATCGGTCAAGGTTGAACATATGGACCGCCAGATATCACCTCAAAGTTCTAGAGGTTTATGACCTGCTTTAAGACTTGAATGACTGGATCGTAAATGCACACTGTTTGGAATTCGTATACCAGGACAAAGAGGCTACCCAGTGCTTCCTGGTTTTCAGAGATTGTCTAACTAGTACCGGTTCATGATGTTCACTGTGAAATCCAACGATCTCTACAAATCCCCGGCAGTACATTTTATCCGTCTGATAATATCAAATCGACCACTTTTGCCCTTGTCTTTGTTGAGTTTTGTTTACAGTGAACTAAGAAAATAATAGTCATTTTCTTGACGTTCTATAGTTTGGGTCCGATGGCTTCACGAAAATGATGATAAAAATGTCCAGTCGTCAAGTATCCTTTAATCGATTAATTTATCGGGTGTAGATTTAGCGTACTTATCAAGTAGGAAACTATTGTTTGTAGGAAATACGCTGTGTGTTATTAGCATAAATCATAACTCTAACACTTCTATGCAGTTGGGAAGAATTGTATGATGGATGGAATATCAGTTATTTGCTATTATTGATTCGACATATGGAATATACTTGTTCGACTAAATGATTTCTGTACAGTGATAATAGCAATAAGAATAGGCTTCCGTGTTATAAGATTTATACTAGTAACCTCCGGGTAAAAATCAAACACACTACCCAGTAATTGATGCGAAAATGGGACCATGTTATCACTTATATTTTGTACCGGACTAAGCACTTTAATTAACTCGATTGCCCAAGTTATGACAAACCAGAGCCTAATATAGTTTAAAGTGAATTGAGTAATCATCCTTTAAATTTTTAGTCTTTAGTCTAGAACCTATGGAAACCTACTAAACTTTTTGCCGAGAAATCAACCGTAGTATGTCATAAACTTGTTGCGATATTTCCTATAAATAATATGATATCCTCGTTTGTTAATCAAGCAAATACAAAAATAACGACAGAATAATCAGAATAAATTAGTCAAAACAGGCATTGTATGAAAACCTTTATTACTGCTACTTTTATTGCGTATTTGTACAGTAAATCTCAAGTTGGTGTCGATTTCGGGTTTTATCTGAATTCGTCTCAAAGTACTGAGACGGAGTTTGAATTTTCGAACTACCCCCGTCCACGCACTTTGGTTTATGCAACCGGGTAGTATCACTAACCTTCACCAAGCAAACGAAGCTGCAGTAGGTCAGTCGAGTGAAGATATCAATGAATGCTGGATAAGAAATCTGTTGCAACTTCACTTAGGTGGCCTAGCGGTAAATTGTACTGCTCTACATTTACAAATTATTGGTGTATATTTGAGACTCAGCTCGGATACAGAAGGCTCAATTGGCTTTTGCCAACCTGCGTCACTTATGGCGTAGGCGAGATATCCGTTTCCTGACGAAAGGATGAGTGTACTGTGTCTTACTTTATGGCTAGGAAACATGGCCAGTGAGAGTAGAAGATATTCGTAGGTTACTGTTTTTCGATCATAGATGTCTTCGAAGCATTGCTCGTATATCCTGGGACAACCGAGTGAGCGACGCTGTTATTAGGAAACGGGTGCTAGGTAAGGATGGCAGATTAATAGATGAAGTGGTGAAACTTCATCAGTTGAGGTGGTTGGGACATGTGCTGCATATGCCTAACCAGCGACTGCCTCGACGAGCTTTGTTTTGTAGTGTAGGAGTAGGTTGGAAGAAAGTTAAGAGAGGCCAGACCAAAACGTGGCAGCAATCCATGAAGTCATTGACAAGTGGACTTTGCTATGTCAGTAGTTGTCGACTACCTGGTTGGGTTTCGCGAGATGATGATAATCGATGTTAAGACACCCTGAATGACATGGCTCAAAGGCGTTCGCAATGGTGCCGATGCATTTATTCTGTGTGTTCTCTCAAATCCTAATCTTCTGGATTCTTCAACATCTCCAGTTTTTTCATTCTAATCTTATCTCACTGAATAATACTTTTTGAATAATACATTCTAATTCTAACCTCTCCGATTACTTCTATTACCTTTACTACCTCTACTTCTATTGGATTTGAAATGAAAATTACATCTATGTGCTAATGTGGTATGGCAACATGAACTGATGTATTTACGTACGAAGTTCTACGTTGCATCTGACTGACTGTATATTTGAGAGATTGCTTGAGTTCCTGGCATGGTAAAACAGGTTATTTACCGACTTAAATGATCCTCATATCTCAACAGAATTTATCATAGAATAGCGAACCACTGATCAATTAGCTGAATTCAGATGAAGGAGCTCGTGCTTCTACATAGACTACATAAACTACCATCAGGTAACAAATAAACCGTTTGAAGCCATATTCAGGATCACGAGAGAAAATCCATAAAAGCCGGACTTCTTCCTATCTTTCCTGGAATAAGGTAACTTTGTAACATCTTGTTCTAGAGTTCCGAAAGAGCGCCAACCGCGTTTTATTTCATTTTAAGTATCCCTCCTCAAAGAACAACTTCACCATGTGATTTCGAAACGCTTATTTGATGTCTTAGGTTCTCAAAACTATGTAAACGAGATCAATCCAAAAACGTTTACTTCTTTGATATGATCTAGGGAACGTCAGTGACTGGCTGTATTTCTCAGTTTTCTGATTATTTGAGTTTCGAATCACAGTTTGAACAAGTTACTGCCACTTAGCTTAAACAATGGTAAAAAAATTCTCCCTCGAATTTCTTGTCTTGCCCCTATGACTGATGTGAGTAATATATAAATTACTATCTGTTGGCGAATAAAAAGTTATACTGCTCGTACAAAACCTGGCAATAAACTCATTTAGAACTGCATGTTATCAATCACTGAGTATTAGTAATATGGACGTTCTATTGTTTGTTTTGCTCACGATCAATTTAAAATACTTCATACATCTTTTCTAATCGCAGTAATTTTATTTCATTTCTTAAAGCGCTAAATAATTCACGTTTGTTAGCGGAGTTGGATTCAAGAGAACGAATAGATGCGAAGGCTTGGCAAAAATCTGGTCACAAGGCTCCACCTGTTACATTTATTTCTGATCCGACTAAACTTACATCAAGTCTTGAAACCTTAAACTCTCGAAACAAAACAACAGACAGTGGATCACGAGTACAGTTAAAAGGTAAAAATAGCCTTAGTGGGTAGTAATGTATTTTAGCTCACAAAGGCAGTTTGTGCTTTTTATTTTTCATGTCCAAAAATATTCCCTCGATTTGTATAAAGTCATTTCAAAAGAAAATAAAAGCTCATCTTCAATAACGGATTTTGTTTCTTTATGTACATTTGTGTTATTAAAATAAAGTTTCGGAAAAACAAGTTCACAGATGTGTGTCGATTACCAAGCTCATACTTTCATGCAATGATAAGAAAACCAGAAACAACATTAAGAGTCCGCTTTAATTCTCCACGTCCTATTAAAGTGGAACTTATTTATTGGATTGATAAATATTAAGTCCTTAAATGTATGAAATATATAGGAAATAACTAGGGGCAGAGTATTAAAATTACTTTGGAGGAAATTCCAATTCTATTTGAACAGTATGATTTAGTGATTTCGTCGAGCTTGCATTAATAGTTGTGATGCTCTTGCAATCACTATTTGAATCTTTTTTAAAGGTTGGTGAAGCGACTCTCTCTCTCTCTCAGGGATTTTTCGACCTTTCTAAACAACGCAAGATTTCTGTCTGGGAAGTCGTCATTTGTTATGATGATTGAAATGAGCCTGATTAATAACATTCATTGAGTATTACATTTATGCTATCATAACTAAAGTCGAAACGATAAGACATTGATTTCCGCTTGAGTGGCTGAAGTATACTGTACTGCTTGCCGTAAAACCTTAATGCTGGTCGCTGTGATGTGCTCGTAATAAGTCTCAAACTGAAGTAATACGGCTGTCAAGTACACCTTAATTCTAGCTAAAATTGCCAGGACAGAAAAACAAATGCAACTTAGGAGATGAAAACACTAAAAACTCGATAAGACTGGAAAAAAAACATATTGGTTTACGTGGCTCTGGCCGTAAATCATACAAAGACTGGTGACTTGAGTGTTAATAGACGTTGTTTCACAGAATCTTTAAATCTGTATGATTTAGTTCATACGCCACTTGGTGATGGATCAGCGAGAACCTGACAATACAGGACCACCCATTATATGTAAAATATAAGCCTCAATAATCTTTCAACGTGAAGAGGACATCAAGCTTAAACATAATCACCCTTCGCCACGACATGCTTACCAACTCCAAAACATTGTTGTGTTTCTTAACATTAAGGCAGCGTTCTATTCAGTAATTCGACAGGTTTAATGACAGTGTTCATCACTAAAGGACCTATCAAAAGAGTACATTAATCTCATACCGACTCTATCTTAAAATACTACCTGTCGAATCAGAGCTTATGGAGAATTTTCAGCCTTAAGTGATGTTCGTCAAAGCTGTACATTTTTATATAACTTTCCCATAGACAATCTTTTACAGATAGGCTTCTCTGTTTGAGGCCTTTTAAAAGAATACAAAACTAATCGAAGGTTGTTCGTATGTTATGATACTAACTATGATGATTGAACGAAATTTGAACTTTACAAATAAAATAGTCATGCAACTACAGCTACAAACGTCTACATTTTTGTTAACAGAATATTAAGTGTGGTAATTTGACAAACGATTTAGTGATTAGACTATGAATTACTAAATTTTAAGCATTTTAGTGTATGAGGATTAATGCAATGGTAACCAACGGAAATATCATAAATTGTCGAATATGAACCTGTAATTTAGCATAGTTTGATCAAAGCATTTATGTTGAGTCCTTCAATGAGTAATACCCTAGAAAAAGCCGGATGATCTGCAAACATAATCATTCCATCTTCAATTACCAAGAATTGAGCTGTTTAGATTATCTAAAATACTTTATCCACAAGGGTTTCACAAACAGACAAAACACAAAACTTCGTACATAAGTACATCAGTTCACGTTGCCATACCACATTAACACAGAGAGATGCAACTGTCAATCCATAGTAGCTGAGGTAGCAGAAGTATTAGCGGCAGTGGAGAAGATTAGGTTTAGAAGATATCATTAAAGAATAATAATCCAATACAATAAATTTAAAAAGAGAAAGATAAAGGTGATGAGGAATTCATAAGATTAAAAATTTGAGAGAAGACAACCAGTGGATGCACCTGCACTATTGCAAACGATTTTGAGCCATGTCGTTCAAGGTCTCTAACCATTGATAACTATCGTCTCGTGGACACCAACCAGGTAGTCTACATCTAACAAAATGACTCAGTCCACTTGTCAGTGACTTCATGGATTTCTGCCATGTTTTGGTTTCGCCGCCCCTAGCTTCTTTCCAACCTACTCCTACACCACAAAGCATAGCTCGTCGAGGCAGTCGGTGGTTAGCCATACGTAACACATGTCCCAACCACCCCAACTGATGAAGTTTCACTACTTCATCTATTGGTCTGCCATCCTTACTCAGTACTTGTTTCCTAATGGCAGCATCGCCTACTCGGTTGTCCCACGATACACAACCAATGCTTCTAAGACATGTGATAGAATACTAGTAACCTACGAATATCTTCTACTCTTACCGACCATGTTTCGCATCCATATAGGAGAACGGAGCGAACTGCTGCGCAGTACACTTGTCATTTGGTTAGCAGGCGGATATTTCGCCTGCGCCATAAGTGATGCAGGTTGGCAAAAGCCAGTCGAGCCTTCTGTATCCGAGCTGAGATTTCGTCAGTCACCAGGCCATCGGCACTGATCAGACTCCCCAGATAAGTGAAGCGGTCTACACGTTCGACTACTTCACTCCCTATCACTAGTTCCGGTGAAGTCGCAAGCCAATCCTGAAGCAACACTTTGCATTTCGAGAGGGAAAACCGCATCCCGAACATGCTTGCATTGTTGCTTAGGGTAGTCAGAAGACTCTGTATTTTGTCAGCGTCTTCACCGAATAGAACTGTCATCGGCATATTCTAGGTCAGTAAGCGATTTTCCTGGTAGAAAGTCAACTCCTGAAAAGTCGGACGAAGATAATGTTATGTCTAGCAGAATGACAAAATTAAACAAGAACGGGGAAAGTGGACATCCCTGACAGACACCACTTGAAGTAAAGAATTCCCGTTACAGTTCGCCATAAGCTCTCACTCGACCAGTAGTGTTCGAGTAGAGAGCTTGTATAAGGTTAATGTACTTCTTTGGTACACCCTTCAATGATAGACACTGCCACAGAACCTCACGATCCACAGAGTCGAATGCCGCCTTAAGGTCCAGGAAGACAACTACTGTCGGACGCCTAAATGTGTGTCTGTGTTCCAGGACCTGTCTGAGTGTGAAGATGTGGTCTATACATCCACGTCCAGACTGGACCCCAGTAGATATTCGCTTGAGCGCTGTTCGATTGAACGGGACAGTAAGGACTCGAAAAGATAGGGACACTAACCGTTGCCTCTTCGTCATATCTGCCTACGCTCCCACTGACTGCAGTTCAGACGAGGTGACAGATGAGTTCAACAGAAAGCTCTCGGATCTCCAAAACGTTACGCGCTTTGATGTAGTAATAATGGTTGGTGACTTTAACGCTCAAGTAGGTAGGCTAAGTGAAAAGGAAAGACACCTGGGTTGATCTTATGTTTCGCGGCTCAGAGAAGAGATAATGATGACCATCTGTTGCAACTGCGCTCAGATAACCGCCTACTTCCAGCAAACACTAACTTTAAGCATAACGAAAAACATCTTTTGAGCTGGCAACCCTCGAAGTCGCTACAACGGTGGACCCAACTAGATCACATCGCTAACAACCACCAATGGAGGGGTTCGATAGAGGACTGTCGCTTGTTCTGGGGCACATGTTAGATTCAGATCATGCTCTAGTGCGAGCGCGTATTTGTTTGCGACTAACTGGACGTAAGAGGAGCAACTGGTAAAACAGTTACGCGACTATATAAGTGGTCCCCACCCCAGGCAGCTTGGAATGATATAAAAAGGCTGTGGAAACAGCAATGATATCTGATAGTAAGGTAAACCATAAGTCTAGGAAGAAGCCATGGATCTCGCAAACTCATCTCCCCTGGCTTTGAACATGATGAAGAGCGAAATCAGCCTAAGTGCAGCCTACGCAGCGACCGCAAACAGTGGTAGGTGGCGAAAGCGATGGAAAAGGCAGCGTCAATAGGCAACAGAAGACAACCTTTCCGCCTTATAAAGAAACCGGTATAAGAAATCCATCTGTTAGTGAAACTATCTCAGAAAGGATGGTCTTATTATTCATTCTCAATCCAGGAGATTGGATCTATGGGCAGTACACTTTAGGGATCAGTTCAACTGACCTTCAGCCACACTCCGGTTGCACATGATTACCAATTAACTTGAATGGTAAATCGCTGTGAAGAAATCCAAAACGAGGAGGTAAGCTTTAGGAACGTTAAATTTCAGGTGGAAATATACGGTGGTAATTCAATTAATTACTTCACATGCTTTTATGTGACTTGGATTTATATTAGGTTGAGATAGGCTTTGCTTTGATACTTGACATTAAAACGTCCATACGTTCATTGGTTTCAGAGGAATCAAAGATTTCTGTGATCCTTACGGTCTCGAACCTGTCATGATTTGATTAAGTTTAATATTTCTAGCTACTAATGCAGTGGTTTTAGCTTGTTACGCAGAGAATTAATCTATTTTAATCTAATCTAAACTAATCTATTTTAATTGTAGGAACGAATAACAATTGTGAACATCGTTTAAGCTTTAGAAAATTGCCTTTGACAATAGAGGGTTAGTTTATATAATAAAATAATAATTTAGAAATAATTCCTTAAGTGAACTCACGTTAAAACATCTTTTCACGACCTCCAATGCATATTATCGGTTAGTAATGAAAGGCGATGTTAGTTTCAATTGGAGACATTTTACTATCCAAGCAACAAAGTTGGATTGCACTCTCTACGCGAACATTTCAGTAAAATTATAGCAACAGGTATCAAGTAATATCTCATCAACTCGTACTTAGCAAAAATCATGATTATTGAGATGATATACATGGACGAATAGAGACGTAGTAAGCAGACAAATATTTGACCAGATGTTACTTACTGAGCAGAAATTATTAAGAAATTCTTTGACTAA